CCGCACAGGGACAGCGCCTCCGGGCTGCGCGCGGGTCGGTCTCCTGCACGTAGCTTCTTCCTCCGGGAAAGTCCCTGGAGTTGGAGGAGGCAGATCCCAGGGAGCCAGTCGTCGGCCCCTTTCGGAATCTGGGAAATAGTGGAGGATTCGCCGGAGGGATGTGGGGGAGGCAGGCAGGGCTCTGAGGGAAGGTGTGTGAGTGCATGGGAGGGTGTGTGTTGGAGTATGTGTGTGTGAGGGGGGCTTGCTCTATGGAAACAGACAGGCAGGACAGTGGGGAAGCCGGGGCGGGGGGCTGGTCAGAGGGGGGGTTGTGTGGAGCACCCCAGAGCCTCTTGCAGCCACCAGAAGGCGTGTGGTGCCTCTGAGGTGTCCAACTGACTCCAGAGGTGATGGCCCAGGCTTCACCTAGACCCATAGTCGGCAAACTGCGGCTTGCCAGCCACAGGCGGCTCTTTGGCCCCTTGAGTGTGGCTCTTCCTAAGCCTTAGGAGGACCCTAATTAAGTGAATAACAATGTACCTACCTATATAGTTTAAGTTTAAAAAATGTGGCTCTCAAAAGAAATTTCAATCGTTGTGCTGTTGATATATGGCTCTGTGGACTAATGAGTTTGCCGACCACTGGGCTAGACACACCTGGCTCCTGAGCTGGCCAGGCCACACGCGGGGGGGACGGGGGGGCGGGGGGACTCCTCAGCAACGTACCCTAACGGCACCTCGTCTCGTGCAAAGCCCCAGGTGCTGGCACCCAGCTCATTTCTGCACCCATGTGACCTCGGGGTCCCCCTTGTTGCCCAGACAGGAGGATGTGCCTGGGGACGCAGGGCGCAGCCGCCCGCCCGCCTCCAGCCTCTGCTCTGGGGCAGACGGTGCGCGGGAAGCGGGCCCAGCGCCATGTCCCGAGGCCCCGCCCGGCTCCATGCGACCTTCGTCCTGGTTCGGTTTACGAGGCGCTTTCCTCGCCCTTTATCGCGGCTGCTGCACCACAGCCCTCGGAGGAGACGGGCGGCCCAAGGTCACTGGCCCGTGAAGAGGGGGCCAGAGCCCGGGATCCTGCCTGCAGGGGGGAGCCAGGTGCAGCGCCCCCCGCTGTGGCCCCGGGAGGCACCTGGGGAGGGTCCCCAGCTCCCCCAGAGGGACATCTTTCTTCTTTACAATCCTCACCCGAGGATATTTTTCCGCTGATTTTTAGGGAGCGTGGGAGAGAGAGAGAGACAGAGAGAAGCATCGACGTGAGAGAAACACATTGATGGGTTGCCTCCTGCATGCGCCCCGACCAGGGCCCAGGCGTCGGGGCCCAGGTCGGGGAGGAGCCTGCAACCCAGGTACGTGCCCTCGACCTGAATAGAACCCGGGACCCTTCAGGCTGCAGGCCAGCGCTCTATCCACTGAGCCACACCAGCCGGGGCGGGACATGTTTCTTCAGATGCCTCTGCCCAGCGTTGCTCTGCCCCTCTTGTCCCCAGGACCCTGCAGAGCCGGGCGCGTGCCCTGGGCACCCTCTGCTGGGAGGCAGCACCCTCACTCCCGTCTGTCCCCGGCTCAGGAGCCCCTGCAGGCTCCCCACGACTCGCACCCGGAGCCGGCCCCTCTCCCCTGGCAGCCTCTCCCTGGGTGTGGCCGGGTGTTTCGGTCCTGCCCGGAGCAGCTGGTCAGCTCTTATCTGCTCCTGGGAGATCTGGAGCTGCCAGGCAGGTCACAGGGAGGTCACCCCTCCCGCCGTTGGGTGTGCCCGCCCTGGGGCCCCGGAATATTCCCGGATTCTCCCCAGCCCTCCACCCAATTCAGGGGAAACTGGCCTTTCCTGCTCTCCCGGGCCAGGTGGGCCCGTGGCTGTGTTTTGAGGGTTTATTTCAATCCAGTTGCGCGTGTGTACACCCTTCTCCCTCCCCCGTCGACAGCGCCCCTGCCCTGGGCGAGGACGGGCTCACGCCTCCGCTCCTCAGAGCAGGTGCCCGACAAATATTTGTCAAACAGCCGGTGGCTCCCTGTGCCTGCCCCCCCCCACCTCCCCTGTGCTCACACTCACGCATGCACATGCATAGTCAACACATGCATGCACTCACGCATTACAGTTACAACATGTGCACACGCCAGTCACATTCACCGTCATACAGTCACACGCACATGTGTGTACACGCGTGCAAACTCACATGCACACGCACACATCGGTCACACACACAAAGGACGACCCCTGGGGCCACGGGAAGCTGAGGTGTTAGGGAAGTTGGGGAGCAGCTCAGGCTTTCAGAGCTGGAAACCCCCCTCCCTCAGATATAAATCCCTAATATATTTGTGGCAAGTATCCCAATTTGGCTCTTAATTTGTCCTCTATTTTCTCCCCGTGGGTTAATCTTATTCTTTAACCAGAGCCCAAAACCCTCCCCATCTTTACCTTACAGCTCAGAGCTCACAGCCGAAGTCTGTTTCAGACTCGGGGCAGGTAAAGATCGTAATCACCACAGAATCTCTGACTCCTAGGGTTCCAGGTACTGAGCTAAGCGCCTCCAAACACAATCTCACCTCATCTTCACAAAACCCTATGATGTGAGCACTAGTATAATCCCCAATTTATAGATAAGGAAATTGAGGCTCAGAAAGATGCACAAAAGTGGCACAACTAGTAAGTAAAACAGAGGCAGGATCTGAACCGGTCACTCGGGAACCAAGTCTCAGATTTTTTAGCACTAGATGCCAAAGACGGGCATGGGGGCTGCATGGGTTCCTACCACATTGGAGAGGGTGGTGGATGGAACTGCTGTATCAGCATTGCTATGGTTCTACTCCAGGTGCAAGCTTTGCCTCCCCCTACACAGGGCATCCCACAGAGCAAGGGACCCAATTGTCTCTCCTCGTCTTCTCTCTGGATGTCACACAACAGGTGCTCCATAAATACTCAGTGAGCACAGCAGGTATGCAGAAATGTGGCTTATTTCTCCTTTATCATCCCCTCCCCTCCCCCTTCCCCTGCCCCCTGCTACGTGCAGGGATGGGCCAGCTCAGCACCCGTTACTGGAACCTTCGTGTCAACTCTGGAGCCGATCCAAGAAGCCACGCCCAGGGCCCCTCGTGACTCAGCCTCACCTGCCCGGCTCCACACCTGCCAGCCTCCGGGACCCAGGGAAAGTCCCGCATCCTTTGTCCACCCTCATCCTCCCCGGTGCTTGCAAGGCATGCTGGGATGTAGCGCCCTGACCTCACCGGCCTGGTCCCCTCCCCTGGGGTCTGGCCAAGGCTGGGTTCGAAGAACTAGACTCTCCGGAGGGGAATTGTCTGAAATGTGAGCCGATGGCGGCCCTGGCAGGTACTGACTTTCCCACATCGAAGTGTGGGGAGATCGCACCCCCCCCCCCATGTCTGGAGCGGGTGAGGGCGGCCCAAGCCCTCGGCCCAAGCCCTCGGCCCAGGTGTGCACCGGGGACCCTTTCCCAAGAAAAGCCTTAAAAAGCAGGGGGACTGCTCAGCTGGTTTGGCTCAGTGGGTAGAGCGCTGGCCTGTGGATTAGAAGGGTCCCGGGTTCGATTCCAGTCAAGGGCACGTACCCGGGGTGTGGATCCGTCCCTGGTCGCGGCACATGCAGGAGGCAGCCAATCCATGTTCTCTCGCGAATCCATGTTTTTCTTGCTCTCCCTCCCCC